GCATAGACTCAAATTTTTTTAAATAAAAAAAATCAACCGAAAAATCCCAACCTTCTGTTCTTTTTTTTTTTTTTTTTAATATTTTATGTATTTATTTGAAAGAGGGAGAGAGAGAGAGTGAGAGCAGCAGGAGCCAGAGCAGAGGGAGAGAGAGAAGCAGACTCCCCACTGGGCAGGGAGCCCAATGCAGGCCTGGATCCCAGGACCCTGAGATCATGACCTGAACCCAAGGCAGAGCTCAACCAACTGATGGTGCCCCTGAACTTTGTTCTTAAAATGTCCACGACATACTGAAATATCCTCATTAGTCAACTCCCCCTGTACAAATATCCTAGGAAAGCTTAGGTAAGCTCAAAAGTATTCAAAAGCAAAGGCAGAAAGATATTTTTAGCAGATGTTACTGAAGTCATCAATTTGTCGGATTTCTTGTAGGATGTTTAGGCTCTTTTTATGTTAGTACTTAAGCATTTTAGTATCTGAGGAATCTTAAAATACTTGCTATAAATAATATAAGGAAAAATAATAACTCACATATTTTGCTCAAGGACATTCATAAAAAAGCCTCCCTCCCCACCCCCAAGACAAATTTTGCAGATAGTTTTGTAGGGTTTCAACTTAAGCTGGTAGTGAGAGGTTTTCTTACAAAGGGAAGGTCTGAGTTTTACTGGAATCTATTTGAATGAGACTGTTTGAAGAATACACTGCCTGAGGTTGGGGATTTGTGAGCCAGACACTCAAAGTAGGAAGAACAGACTTCCATTCAGTATCTTCAAGCAAAAATACCCCAATTCATGTTGGGAGCAAAGAGGCATAGAAAGCAAACCACAAAAACATCCCTGCGTCGTTGGGAGAACTGGTTGTGGGGAATCCAGGTAAAACAAGACAATAGCATAAATATCCTTGCAAATCCACACGCAGGGCAATTTGCTCACTGTGAGGTAAATGCCTTTCTATTCTATTTTTGAGTTTCCAGCAACTTCAATGTTCCGTGAGTGTGTGTGTGTGTGTGTGTGTGTGTGTGTGTGTGTGTGATTTTTAAGAACCTTGGGCACAGAAGCAAGGTGAGAGGCCCAGGGTGAGTGTAAATTGATGCTGCGTTAGCTGTGAGGGTGGTGAAAAGTAAAACCTCGACCAGAAGTGACATTTTAGGAAGAGATGGGAATATGCTTCCAGGTATGGGAATTGAGGGAGCCAAGGGTATTAAATGGATGTCTTAGAAGTCCCTAACCTTTGTGAGGTCTGAAAATCAATAGTAAAACTCTTTTATCTGCACAAGCCCAAAATATTTAGCCAAAATGTGAAGTTCAAACACCGTCGGATACATTGTTTGGTGTTGTGAAAATGAGAGATAACATTTTTTTTTTCCTTCCTGTGGCATCGGGGGAGTGTTTGGGTTGGGATAAGCAATCCAAGTGGCCATGTTCACGCCACAGTTAAAGAAACCTTGAGGCCGTTTAAGCCATGAATAACCTCAAGACATTTGTTATATTTGTTTCCAACAAAATGTTAATTTTATGTATTTTGATATACTCATTCCCCAGGGGGAAAAAAATCAATGGTGATGTTTTATAAGACAGGCATAAACTCTGACTCTAGATTTCCTGCACCACTGTATAAGGTTTTCTTTCCCTGTCATTATGGCTTCAATTTTAAAAATTGCTATTCTTGGTGCTATCAGATCACTCTGCTGGTGTTACCATAATAACCAGAGGTATACATTTATTTATTTCCAGAGGAATGCCAATTGATTTCTCCCCAGATGAAAAAACAAAGGACTTGTGTCAAACCACTCTGGTGCTTCTTTCAGTTGAAGCATTACGAACAAGCTTATTCTATTTTATAGCATCTGCCAATCTGTAACTTTAATAAGAAAACAACTTTTTTGATACCCTAAGCTAAAATAAATAAATAAATAAATAAATAAATAAATAAATAAATAAATAAATAAATCCACCCACAGGTAATAGAATCATCTTTGTTAGCAGGAAGTCACTGGGATTTATTTATTCATGGCCTGATGAAACTTCAAAAAAGTGCTCTTTTGAACAAGAAATGACTCATGTACATTGAGGAGCTCCTGAATGTCACCCAGGATTTAGTTACCACTGTGAGATTAAAAATGCATTACAATGCTAGGCAGCTTTCAGGCTGATGAGGGAGATAGGAAGGAGAAAGGCATCATGGAATAAAGGCAGGGATGTTGAGAGAAAGGGGGTCACAACCCATGTAAGTGAGGAAGAAAGAGGCACCGAGAGACAAGCTATCTAGTAGATGGGCGGCCTCCTTGGACTTGAGACTCACACGCAAGTGGGTGAATCCATTTCGAAAGTCACTCTACACGGTCATTCCTGGCAAAATGATGCTTAGGAAGAAATGGACAAGGGTCGGCAAAACCCTGAATCCTGAGAAATGACTGGATCTAAAGAGCCAAGTATGGACATTTTGAAATAGCACACATAATGAGTAAGATGGCATGGGGCGGGCGAAGGCGGGGCTGGGGCGGGTGACATCCTGTGGTCATTTGGTAAAAGTAGCGTCCGTGATGGAACCTAACCAGAATTATAAAGTGATCAGCTTGAAAGTCTAATTTAAACATAAATTTAGGGGCTCACCACTCACCACTCTCTGGGTGGCTCAGTGGTCGAGCATCTGCCTTCGGCCCACGGTGTGATCCTGGGGTCCCAGGATTGAGTCCCACATTGGGCTCCCTGCATGGAGCCTGCTTCTCCCTCTGCCTGTGTCTCTGCCTCTCTCTGTGAGTCTCTCATGAATAAATAAATAAAAATCTTTAAAATAAATAAAAAATAAATAAATACACATAAATTTAAAGTGGTATTTAAAGACCATGGTCACAAGTATAATCTCTCTGGATGGTGTAAGAGACAGGACAAAAGGTCCTCAACAAGAAATAGTCATTATTCACGTCTTACAGTTCTTTACACGAATTTCAGAGAATCTTGGTGGTAGGTATTGTTCCTTACTCATGCACAAATCTTTGCACCTCTCAATGCAGAGAAGATCTGCACTCCATCAACCGTAGGCCCTTTTCTCAACACACCTCCACATGTTAAGTGACCATGAAGAAACACACACACACACATGCATGTGCGCCTTCTCTGTGTCTGTTAAAGACCATGCTCCATTACTCATTTTCTTTGATGTACATGTTCTCACCACAGCCCCAAATAGTTAGGATTATAATTGCATTTGACACCTACTTCCTTCCCACTGAATCTGATTCAAAAGTGTATATTTAAATTCATGAAACCTGAGTACAATAGAGGCTACTGCAGATGAGCACCATTTAATAGGAACCTAATAAATTTTTACAAAGCAAAGCAATCATCTTAGGGGAAAAAAAAAAAAAAAACCTTTGCCGTAAAATTCATCTAAATACATTATTTAATCTATCCAAAGTATTTCTTTAATAATTCAAAGTTTCAAAAGATTAAGCACATGTTATTACCAATTGTTGACCTTTTTGGAGTTGTGGTTTTCATTAGAATTAAATGAGCAGTACACAGGCTGAAATATTTTAATATATTCGTAATTCACCACTCACAATTCTGAGAAGGCCTGTTCTAATCAAAATGTGTTCTTCTGGCCTTTTGACCTACAAGGGATGTATTTCTCATAAAAATGTGGCATGGTTGTCTAATCCGTTTCACTTAATAGTGTCATCATGACTACTCTTTTTTTCTACTTAAGGTACTTTTTAAGCGAGTTAAAATTGTGGCAGATTCTGTTATGCTTCACTGGGCTTCATGATTCTTTGAGTCATGTAATTAAATGATCACATAAAATAAAAACCTGGCGGTGCCGATCAATCAAAGGAGTTTTGTGCTTTCAAAGATGAAGAATCAAATGTCAAGAAGGACTCATCCTATAAGGGCCCCAACTGCAACTATAAGGCCTTAGCGACTTCAACGAATAATAAGGTGATTCGCTAATAGGACATGCAGGAGAGTTTCTGGGATTCTGGACAGCCGTGCCTTCTGAGTTCCTGATAATCCAAGATTCAGTGTCATATTGTTACCCACATGCCGCACTTCTGAGGAAAAGGAACCCCAATATATAAATGGCATCCAGCTAAACTAATGGATGATCTGTCATTCTCCATTTTTTTCTTTCTTTTTTTTTTTTTTTAAATAACCAAACCTAATCAAAGTGATGCATGATTGCAATCATCCACAGGATTCTCTGGTCAGGACATTTCCAACATGACATACATCTGCCTAAAGATGCAACGGACCTTCCAGTGTTGGCTTTTGCGTTCGGCTCTGTTCATTACACACTCATTCCATCCACCCTTTCCCCCACCCTCCCAACTACTGCAGCTGTTTCTACCGAGTAATGAAAGTTGCTAGAGAAATCATATATACACATACATGTAAAATTAGGGAAACAAGCTGCTTTATTGCCCCGATTTAAAATAAGCTCAATCAGTAGAAAAGAAAAATACTATAATATACAGCTTGATGAGCAGCTGAAGACAAGAATATAGACTCAGACACGACTTTAGAATTCAGGATAGGTCTCGCTTGCTGGTGTTTGAACGAGATGAAGGACATTTCTCCTTTAAATTTTTTTCTAAACCACTGAATGAACAAGTGGAATTTATGGGGGAATGTAACCCAAAATAGGCAGATACGTAAAAATTCCTTAAGTATTAGTGTGAAGCTTTAAAAGCAGAGAGAGGAAAGGTCTTACTTCTGTTTGATTTCAAGAGTTGTGACATTCTGTTAAGGCTTCCTCAGTAAGAAATCCAGGTGAAAAGAGTACCTTCCATAAGTCAGTGATAAGATACAAGTTACGCGGAACAGATTGTTGATCCTCCCTTGGGAGGGCAAACACACAGATCGATTCGTATGGCAAGGTGAGCCTTGAAATACAGATTCGCGAAATTACAAAGACTAAATCAAGAGGCACGTTAATCATTATCGCAAAGGTCTAGGGAAAAAGATATTGAAAGTATTTGCAAAAAAAGCAAACAGTCTTACTCTTGACGGTCGCCGTCCGGGTACAGTTGTAAAGAATCGCCAACTCCCCGAACACTTTTCCTGGCCCCATGGTACACAGCTTCACACCTTCTTTCGTGACTTCAACCTTACCATCTGAAAGGAAGAGACAACATAATTTTAATCCTCTTGCACGGCTCCATTTGTTGCATTTTCAATATGCAACGAGGAGTACGAGGCTCATCTTTAAAACTGCAAAGGAATTACCAGTGGACACCAAGCCTTCACCCAGATGCAATGCAAGATATGCAATAAATCGCATTAAGAAATCCCACCCTTCTTTAAACTAATCTGATGTAAGACTGAAAGCAAGCCCCAGAAAAAGGCAACAAGGTAAAAGGTAAACGCGTGTTTTTCCAAATACAATATTAGAAAAGTATGGCCATTCCGATTTTCATGTCATTTTCTGAATCTGAGCGAAAACCTGAGTAAGCGCGTGCTATCTTCTACGGCACACTTCACATGTGGGGGTTCTCATTTGACTAAAGCACAGCTATTACGGGAAGGGAGATTGCTTTGACCCTTGGGCACTGTTTAATTGCAGCTCATCGTATCTTTTATTTTTAAGCATCTTATCTGACTTGGCCAAAACTGTTTTATATGCTTCCTAGCCCAGCAACACTGACTGTAAGGAAAAACAAACTAGGAGGGTTATGGGGGTGGAAAAAGAGGTATTAGGACCATTTATGTTCCACAAAGGACTTGGGAAATGAAATGCTAAGGAAGGAAGGAGCCAAGGACACAAGGACTGTGGCTGGACATTGGTGCCTGCAAGGAAGGCAGATGCGATCCGTGAGGGAAACGAAAGTAGTAGGTTTTCAAAAAAAGGTGCAGCTTTATACTATCACCTCACACAACAGAGTGGGGTGGGGGATTGAATATAAAATGGGCAACACAATCCACTCCAGATTAACACTCCCCCACACTTTATTATTCTTCCAAGTTTCTTATCCAGAGTCTACAGAAGAGCCTTCCGCTTGGCATGAGCTAGTGAAAGAATGAGATGAGCTAACGCTACCAAGTTTTCTCCAAACTTCAGACCTACAGTCATCGACTTTATGATTGTTCCTGTATCTACGTGTTTCCTATAATACTTAACTTTTTAGAGTTTGGGCTTTAAACACACTCCCACTTTAAAAAAATAAAGAAATCAACCCCCAGTATCAATAAGCAATAACATTTGTAAAATCATGGGGTCCATGTGTTGAGTTCTTCAAATACCTATTGAGATAAAACCTTCAGTGTCAAAGAACTTTTTGGGAAAGTGTAATCCACGTACCTACCAGTCATGAGACATCAGCCTTTCAGAGAACATTGTTCTTTCTACCCTGAACACCATTTCATGTAAATGGTAACAGGGGAGAGAGAATTTCACAGTAATTAGGATAAAATTTCACACAAGATCTATTCACTACTCTTGAACTGTGTGTGTGCACCTCCTCCGTGTGTGATGAAGTTACCCAGGAATGAACAGATCCAACAATTCTGAAAGTTTTGATGTATTTTCTAAGGTGGGTCTGGTCACTCAAAATTTAGTCTAGCTTGGTCATGACTTCCTTCTCAACGGCAGAAAAGAAGACTTTTTCTTGGGATACCAGCCAAGTAAATCTATATTTTCCTAAACCTCAGATGTCCCTCGTCCATGTGGCATGTAGCCATTTCCCTTTCAATGGTGAGCCTGTCCCCTTACGAATTTCATCTGCTGCTTAAGAATGAGAAATAGGCTTGGGAGCTAATGGGGTTAGGAGATTTATGTGTCATTAAAAGTCAGACCAGGAGTTAAATCTTGGTTCTCTTATCTGTTTCTTACGAGCCCCGTGATCTTGGGGGGGGGGGGAGTCACTAATTTCTCCATGCCTTGGTTTCTTCATTAATAAAGTTGGTAAAAGGAAAGCACTATATCATCGGGTGGTTGATAAAATGAAACAATTAAAGCAGGGGCAATGCTGAGCACAATGTCCAGCATATAGCAAATGATCAGTAAATACTAGCTCTAATTACGGGTGTTACTTTCATTTATCTCTTATCTAAAAGGTGGGAGAACTTACTAGATCATACTGAAACACATTCTTCTATTGTCTGTTACAGAAACCAATCAAGTCTATGTAAGTTGGTAGATTTGTAGTTTTTCTTTTTTTTAATGGAAAAAAAGTATTTGTTTCAGATTCTCTATGGGGGAGGGGAGAGGGTGTGCATGTTTGAGAGCTTTGGGGCTCAAATCAATATTAAACCCAAAGAAGAAAATGGAAATTCAGGAAGTCACAGAATGCACTCTCTCTGTCCTCTCCCTCACCTGGCCACACGCAGCCAACACTGGACGTGGCATTGCTTCAGCAAGTCTCATCTTATGGTGGAGACTCCCACGAATGGCAACATAACCACTTTCCAGTCTTGACTTAAAGCTCTAGCTTCAATTATATTAAAAGAAGTGAGAGCAAAATGATTAATGCCCAAAGAGCTTCCATACATAACTGATTTTGTACAAGTCTGCCTCCCGGTCCCTTTGGGTCCCTAGCTAGAAGTCTTTGGTGGAAAGGGACCCATAGGAGCAAGAACAGTACTAAGAATCTTGCTGGGGCATATGGGGGGTTCAGTCAGTTGAGCATTTGCCTTCAGCTCAGGTCATGATCTTGGGGTCCCAGGATCAAAGTCCCTGCTCAGCAGAAGCAGAGTCTGATTCTCTCTTTTCCTCTTCCCCTGCTCGTCTCTCTCTCTCTCTCTCTCTCTCTCTCTCTCTCTCTCTCTCTCTCAAATAAATAAATAAAATCTTTTTTTTTTTTTTTTAAAGAATCCTACTGGACAGTTTGACAATTAGGGCTTCTCAACTAACAAAAGATAAGAAACATAGGATTCTTATTTTAGCTCAGTGGCTTCTTGAAGGATATCTGTGGACCCGTCACATCAAAGCTAATTAATAAAATCCAGATATTCCCCACTCTGGGAAGTTGTAACTGTCCCTACACCACAATGACCACCGTTCTTGGGCCTGATGCTCTGAAAAACAATGCTCTTATAGCACTGATAGACTTCACCTGAGAGTTAGTCTTATAATTGATCATATTTCCTTCGAGATACAATCTCTAGAAAGCTCTAAAAGACTTTGGGGCAGGGACACCTGGGTGGCTTAGTGGTTGAGCACCTGCCTTCAGCCCAGGGCATGATCCTGGAGACCCAGGATTGAGTCCTGCATCAGGCTCCCTGCATGGAGCCTGCTTCTCCCTCTGCCTATGTCTCTGCCTCTCTCTCTGTGTCTCTCATGAATAAATAAATAAAATCTTAAAAAAAAAAAAACCTTTAAAAATTTTTTTAAAAAAAGACTTTGGGGCAGGAGATGTGTGCACGAATACATTTCCAGTTCCAACTCATTTCCCTGGTCTTATTTCATATTTGCCTAATCTGTTCATGTCAAACTCATTTTTTAAACCGTATGAATAATTATACATGTGTATATATGTAAAGATAGGAATAAATAAGCATATGTATGATAAATACTCCTACATATGAATAATTAATGTTGGTAACAGAGGGATATAGTCCATATTAATTAAAGTAGCAAAAAAAATTAAGAAGAGATTTACTGGAACAGATCGTATTCGAGAAATAGAAATTTGGAGGTAAAACACCTTTTCCAGGTTAAGTCAGGTACAACAGATTCAGTATATTCACAATAGCCAAGGAAGGTAAGAATCTGAGTGCCTATGATAGATGAGACTGGTCCAGAAAACACTTGTTGGACAGAATTATCTAACTGGTAAACAGAAGCACAGTGTTTGAAAAATGTTACTCTGAATCGCAGCGCGATCACTTTTCCTCCTTCCTCATACCTGCCGTGTGGGTGGAGTAAGTAATTCAGGGAGGCAGGATCAACTGGGTGCTAAAAAACAAGTTGGGTACAGACATGGCATTAATTAGAGAGCTCTTTCAGAGACGCGGGGAAGTGTTCTGATTTCCAAGAGCCCAGTAATGCAAGTTACTGATGCGAAGTGTGAATATGGTCAAGCTCCTTCGCTGCCCCACACAGCAACCTTGAGAAGTGATTATACTTCACAAAACTAGAAGTGATTATACTTCACAAATGATTTCCAAGTACAAAACATGTAGTAAACTTACGAACACGAAGAGTAAGACCATCACGAGCCTACTGCATGCACCAGTTCCCTCTTCCCAACTCATCGATGTCCTTGAACGTATTAAGGCCCCTAGTTGGACAACAGAGCCATCCTGAAGCCACTCGCCTAGTCCTATTTTTCCTCTACCCTTTTCTCCACTCTCTGGCTATCTTCGAGGTTTGGTTTAAATCAACTTCAGTTGCCCAGAAAGGAGGTAGGCCTACGTGTGCTCAGGTTGGTGGTGAGGGGAATAACATGGGTAAAACAAATCGGGAAAAAGCCATTTGGGCTCAAAATAGAGCATGCTTTTGCCAGAGGCTTATACCAACTTAGAAAGAACCCAGCTTGGAGAGGTTTTTTTTTTATATAATTTTAATTTGCTATTAACTTCAGAAGTGCATTTTGATGAGTTTTCTACAGGTCAGCATTGATTAATGTAATTTCTATTTCTCTTAAAGAAATCACAGAGTTTCATTAGCATTTATTCATGACTGCTTAATACTTTAATTTTCTAATATGGTAGATTCCAAATCAAAGACTTTTTTTTTTCTTCAAGAGTAGCAAAAAGACATTTTCAGAATGTCCTAGCAAAGTGACTTTTCCATCATTTTCCCTAACTGAACTTGACAATGACTAGAGGTTATTAGAACTGTTATTTGGGCAAACTAATGACAATCCAGAATGTGGTCCATCTATATATCCACTTCTGTTCTTTTTATTCATTTTTGCTTTAGAAAAATATGGTATTATATTGGCATTATTTTTACCATGCACCATCTCCACCACACACACACAAAACATTCAAATCATTTCTATTTGGATTTTGCTAAGGTGTTAGTTGCTCACAGGAGAGATGTTGGCTAAGATAAGATTTCAGGGTTATAGCTTCATTCAGCTATTATCATCCCTGTAATTAGGATGAATAATTGAAGGTTTTATACTACCTTCAATGTGTTTTTTTTTAAGATTTTATTTATTTGAAGGAGA